TGGTCTCCCCGTCACTGTCACCGCTCTCCTGGGAGGCCCCTCCCCACCGAGGATCCCCATGCCAGCTGAAGGCCTGCGCTGGTGCTTTGGGGCGTGTCCAAGCTCCCTGGGGAGGTGTCCCCATTCTTTCCCTGATGCGTACACCCCTTCCTGAGCCTTGGGCCCTGAGGGTGCATGGTCAGGTGGGTCATTAGCCAGGGTGCCTCCATTCCAGCTCCAAGTCCCACACAAAGAAAGAGCCAGGCAGGCCATGTGCCCAGGGTCATGATGAGCCAGATGGGACCCTAGAAAGGGCTCCATCTTCTGAGCTACACACACCAGGATTCAAACCTTGACTCTGGCTGGGTGTGGTGAGCACGCCTGTCATCCCAGTGACTCGGGAGGCTGAGGCAGGAGGATCACAAGGTGGAGGCCAGCCTCAGCAACTCAGCGAGGCTCTAAGCAACTCAGTGAGACCCTGTCTCTAAATAAAATAAAAAATAGGGCTGGGGAGGTGACTAAAGGTTAAGTACCCCTGGGTTCAATCCCTGGTACAAAAAAACAACAACAAAAAAAAAAAACAGTTTTAAAACATCTCAGTTTCTTCTGGGAGCTGAGTCACATTTCATATCTGAGCCTATGACCCAACATGGCAGGCTGCTTGGAAAGACATCGGAGTGTTTCTTCTTTGCTAGATATTATTCTAAGTCCATTCAAACACACCATTCTCATTCCTATTTTACAAATCGGGAAACTGAGGCACAGCATTTTTTTTTTTAAAGTAACCAAGAGAAGATCACAGGAGGGGTGTGGTGGCACACACCTGGAATCCCAGTGGCTTAAAAGGCTGAGGCAGGAGGATCACAAGTTCCAAGCCAGCCTCAACAACTCAGCCAGGCCATAAACCACTTAGCAAGACCCCATCTCAAAATAAAATGGTCAATAAAGCCAGTGGCGCACACCTGTAACCCCAGTGGCTTGGGAGGTTGAGGCAGGAGGATCACAGTGAGCAAGGCTCTAAGCAATTTAGCAAGACCCTGTCTCAAAATTAAAATAATGAAACATAATAAGGGCTGGGATGTGGCTCAGTGGTTAAGCACCTCATTCCCTAGTACTGGAAAAAAAAATCAAAAGTACAGCCAGAATTGAAGGATTTATATTTATTATTATTATTATTATCTTAACCACTGAGCCATATCCCAGCCCTTTTCTAATATTTTACTAGAGACAGGGCCTCACTAATATGCTGAGGCTGACCTCGAACTTGCAATCCTCCTGCCTCAGCCTCCAGAGCCACAGGGATCACTTGACAGAGCCTTTACATTTAATTCCTCATTTTCCTGCGTCTCTTAACAAGGAGTGGCTGACACAGTTAAGGAGCCCATGTTCACTGACTTGCTCAATCAGTCTGTCACTCGATAATTTCTCGAGTGCCCATCTGTGTTGGGCCCTTTACTGGGTTCAAGGAATTCGGTGATGCAGAGAGCAGACGCATCCTTCTTCTCTGAAGCCTCTTAGTAAATCTGTGTGTGCACAGGGGAGACTACTGGTTGGAGACGAATCAAAAACAAACGAACAAGCTACAGACTCGGAGAAGGATCTTTCTGCAGCAGGGAGAAAAATGGTGGGGTGGCCTGTTGGAGGGTGGTGTCTGAGAGGTGATGTCAGACATCACCTCTGGGATGAGACCTGGGTCAAGAGTGGGGGAGCCACACAGGGCAGCAGCAGAGGCCTGGTCCCTGCTCACGGCAGGGACCTCCAAGCCCTTCATGCTGTTCACTCTGTGTAAGGCCCCAGGTCACCTCCCTTCCTGGTCGCTGGGCAGAGCTCGGTGCTACCTGACAGCCAGCTCGGAGCTCTGGTCTGGCCGTGCTGGCCCAGGCCTGGACGTGCTCTGGGTGTGCTGGGTACTTAGAGGGTGTCAATCAGAGCAAGAGCCCTCCTTGACACAGACCAGGAAGTCCAGCTTCTACCATGGGAGCCTGGGTCCGCCATTCAGCCTAGGGCTCCGTGGTGTGCAGGTGGGGGGAGAACTCGTGCAGATGGGGGCCAGGCTGCTCCTGGCCACCTCGGCTCCTGCCCCGACTTCTCCCTGGCACTGAATCCTCAGCCATCCCCGTTCCCTGCGTCTCCCACCCCAGCAGCCCCGCTCAGGGGAGCGGTGACAAGCGGTGATTTTTTGTGTGGCACAGCCCCAAGGGAAGCTGCTGGTGTACAGAGCGCCTGGCTGTCCCCGGGGCTGTTCCTCACACTAAGCAGCCATCCGCTCGGCTGAGTCGCCAAATCCAGGGCTAAAGCTGAAGCTTAAAAGTCTGAAAGGCAGAAAAAGGAAATTGGGGCCAAGGAAGCGGATCGTGCCTTCCTGCCTGAGCCCCTGTGCCCCGCTGCTGATCCACTCCATCTGGGGGCTTTGTCTCGCTCGGAGAGTTTCCTGGATTTCAAGAGAGCAGGTGGGGACCCGAGTGCAGGGCTTTGGAACAATGGACCAGTAGCTTTGTTATCTTGGCTTGCTTTCTCCACTCTGAGGTGGACACACGCGTGCGCGCGCACACACACACACACACACACACACACCAGGATGCAGACGCAGCACACACAGCGCCCTGCTGACAGTGAGGTCCAGGCAGGAGCAGATGGCTGCTGGGCTGGGAGGTCCAGAGGCTGAACAAAGGGGCTCTCACAAAGGTGTGGGCGGGGCTGGGCTTGCAGGGCTGAGCCTGCCACTGCCTTAAAGCAGATCTTCTGTGCCCTCTGCCAGGGCCTGGGCGAGGGCTGGGTGGGTGACCGTGACTGGCCAAGACCATCCAGGCTTCTGGGAAAGATCTTCTTTGTCCTGAGAGAGACAGTCACCTGAGAACGAAGCCCTTTCTGGATGGGTGTCCTCCCAGCTCAGAGCCGAGGCTGGGCAGGTGCGACACTCAGAGCTGAGGTGCCCTCCTGAAACCACTCGGGGGTGTCACCCACAGGCTGAGCAGACACAGGGCAGGCCCCCAATGCATGGTGGACTCTGTCGCCAGGAGCACACCAGGCGGGAAGCACGCATTCCTCAGGCGGGCAGACCTCAAACAGGGACAAGGAGGGGGCTGCCAGGGGTCCCCTGGTGAAGCCTGCTGTGAGTCTTACCCAGTGGAGGCCAGGAGTGTCGCACCGATGGGCGTCCCTCCCTATGGAAACCCGAGAGTGGGAGAGAAGGTTCCGCCAACTAGTGCTACCTTCCAGGCCTGGAGCTCAGTGAGGACCTAACATGGCCCTGTGCATTTTGGACAGCTGTATTTTTTTCAAATACATATATTTTAGTGGCAGGTGGACATTGTGTCCACCTGCTACATTATTTGATTGATCTGTTTGTACGTGGTGCTGAGGATGGAAGCCTTCACACCCGCCGAGCAAGCGCTCCAGCCCTAGCCCCAGCCCCGCCAGCTGTATTTCTGTGAAGGGCCTCATGGTCAACCAAACTCTAGAGCTGGTCCAAGAACTCTCTTCTATCCTGAGATCAGAGCTTTCCACAACACAGGCTGAGCCAGACTCTTTGCCTGCTCCAGAAACCAAGGTTTACCTACCTCCCACCTCAATGGTCAAATTTCACAAACGAGTCGGGCGCAGTGGTGCACACCTGCCATCCCAGCAGCTCAGGAGGCTGAGGCAGGAGGATCGCGAGTTCCAAGCCAGCCTCGGCAAAAGCGAGGCCCTGAGCAACTCAGGGAGACCCTGTCTCTAAATAAAAATACAAAATAGGGCTGGGGATGGGGCTCAGGGGTGGAGGGCCCCTGAGTTCAATCCCTGGTACAAAAAATAAAAAATAAAAATAAAAAAAGCCACTTCACAAATGGCTTTCCAGTCCTCCATCCTTGTGGTCCATTCAAACTTTCTAGAATTTTCCCCACCAAACTCATCCTCCCGGCCCTCTGGGCCCTGTCTTGTCTCTCTGGTCCTTAGCCATGTCCTTCTGTCCTTTCCCCTCTTAGGCCACCGTTCTCTAGCCAAGGGGTCCTTGGCAATGGTCCAGGGAGAACTCCATTGAGACCATTTTGAAGTCTGGCCCGATCACGTTATCAGGAAATCACCGGATCCAGCTCACGACAGCTCTGACCCAGGCGAAGCTTTGTGGATGGTCCCACCACACATCACAGAGCAAACCCTGTGCAGCCCACGGCTACCATGAAAGCAGATATTTGGTTTTTGTCCTCAGTTCTAGAAACAGGGCTCCTGAAACCTGGGAATTTCCTGAATAATAGGAGTTTATTTTATCATTCATAACAGACTCCTTTTGGACTCATTCTGAGCCTGTGGAGTCCCCAGGGGGTTTCAGGGTGGGGGCTGGTCAGCAGAAAGGTCAGACACAGAGTTAGAGTGCGGGAACTTTCAACCCACACCCCAGTCTCCAGGGAGGAGCAGAAGGGGGCTGGAGACGGAGCTCAATGACAACTCTTTGAGTTTGGCATGGTGGCCCAAGCCTGGGATCCCAGTGGCTCGGGAGGCTGAGGCAGGAGGATAGCAAGTTGGAGGCCAGCCTCAGCAGCTTAATAAGACGCTGGGTTCAATCTCCCCAAAACAAACAAACAAACAACAACAAAAAAAAACCCAAACAAACTCTTGAACAAGATTCAGACAGCTATGGAGTTGGCAGACATATCCTTGATTCCCTGGGGACAGGGCTCCTGTCTTGGGACCCTTCCTGACCTTGATCTGTACACCTCTTTTTCTGGCTGGTCAACTATGACAGGAGTATAGTACTTTCCTAAGATCTATAAGTTGTTCTAGTAAATTACTGACCCTGAGCAGGGGTTGTGGGGACTTCTAAATTGGTAGTCAGCGGGGCAGAAGTGTGGGCAGAGGCTGGGTACCCGACTTGTGGTGGGTATACACAATGAGGACCAGTGTTGTGTGAGTAGGTCTACACTAACTCTAGGAGTTGATGTCAGGCTGAACTGATTTCTAGGACACCTAGTTAGTGTCAAAGGATCACAGAATTGATTGGTACAGGAAAAGCAACATTTATTTGGTGTCAGAGAAGAACATACCTTTTTCCAGGTGTGGTGGCACGTGCCTGTCATCCCGTCTACTCAGGAGGCTGAGGCAGGAGGATCGCAGGTTCTGGGCCAGACTCAGCACCTTAGCAAGACCCTGTTCTCAACATAAAAAATAAAAAGGGCTGGGGATGTGTGACAGTGGTAAAGCACCCCAGGGTTCAATCCCCAATACTCAAAATTTAAAAATTAAAAAAAAAAAAAAAAAAAAAGAAAAAAACATGCATTTTTTGGTGTCAGAAGAAAATAAAAAAGCCATAACCTCTTTTTCCATATTTTCTATCTTTACCAAATCTGTCTTTTCTTTTTCCCTCACTCCAAATCCCACTTGTCCAACCTAGCAGGCTCTTCCCTCGTTCTCCATCCCTGACGCTCAAAAATCTACCCAGCCAGGTGCAGTAGCACACACCTGTCATCCCAGCAGCTCGGAAGGCTGAGGCAGGAGGATTGCAAGTTCGAGGCCAGCCTCAGCAACTAGCGAGGCCCTAAAGCAACTTAGCAAGACCCTAAGTACATAGCAAGACCCTGTCTCTACATAAAATATAAAAAAGCCTGGGGATGGGGCTCAGTGGTTAAGTGTCCCAGGTTCAATCCCCGGTACCAAAAATAAAAAAAGAAAAACAAAAAGTCAGGCGGGATGCTTCTAGTGCCTTCTATCAGTCAGCTTCCTCTTTCCTTCTACTTAGGGCAGAAAGCACTTCTCAGCAACTGCAGGCAGGTGGAGCCACAGCGTCAGCCCTGGTCCGTGGATTGTGAGCAGGACCTGAGGGGTCTGCAGAAGGAAAGCTGGTGCTCAGCTCTCTAGCCTCCTCCCTTGGACTTGACCAGAGCCACGTGGCCCAGAGGTACTACAGTTAGAGCACGGGGAGCCTGTCAGCCAGGGTCCCCAAGCCCCTCTGTCCAGTGGTAGCATATCCCTGGGTTCAATCCCCAGGACTGGCAGAAAAAGAAATGCCTGTCATCCCATCTACTCAGGAGGCTGAGGCAGGAGGATCACAAGTTCTAGGCTAGACTCGGCACCTTAGCAAGACCCTGTCTCAAAATAAAAAATAAAAAGGGCTGGGGATGGGAAAAACAAAACCCAAACCGTGCACTTGGATATTAGCACTCACTGCGGGAGTGAGAGGTGAAACAGGGAGGTGTGAACTGTCCCCAAGTATTTTACTAATACTTTTATTGAAGTACACTTTGTGTGTAATAAAATGCACAGATGCCAGTGCCCAGCTGCACACGGATAATGTGGAACTCGTGTGGCCACTACCCCAACCAGATACACACCATTCATCCCCGTAACACAAGCTCAAGTCTTTTCCTGTTAATCTCCAACAATGCTTCGTAGTTTTTAGGGTAGATTTCCCTTTTTTTTTTTTGATTCTGGGGATTGAACTCAGGGGTGCTTAGCCACTGAGCCCCATCCCCAGCCCTTTTAATATTTTGATTTAGAGCCAGGGTCTCGCTGAGTTGCTTAGGGCCTCACTAAATGGCTGAGGCCAGCCTCGAACATGTGATCCTCCTGCCTCAGCCTCCTGAGCAGCTGGGATGACAGGTAGGCACCACCATGCCTGGCCAGATTTTGCAGTTCTTTGGTTAATTTATTCTGAGGTGTTCTATTCTTTCTTTTGGAGACTAATGTAGATGGAGCTGTTTTCTTAATTTCATTTTTTGACTGTTTGTGGCTGACGCACAAAAACAGAACTGATTTTTGCAGATTGATCTATTCCCCTGAAACCTGGCTACACTTGCTCACAGCTCTCATAATTTGAGTGTGTGAGTGAGAGTGTGTGTGTGTGTGTGTGTGTGTGTGTCCCTTAGGATTCTCTATGGATGAGTCATGTCATCTGTGAACAGAGAGAGCTTTACGGCTTCCCTTCCAATCTGGATGACTTGTATTTCATCTTCTTGCCTAATTAATCTAGATCCTTCAGTACAATGTTGTCTCAAAGTGGCAAAAACAGACGTCCTGTTCCTGATTCCTGCCGCTCCCATGCTGGGGATCAAATCCAGGGCCTGATGCATGCTCGCAGGCACCCTACCCCTGAGCTACCCCCCCTGTTCTCGATCTTAGGATGACAGCTTCCTTTTGGTTTTTAAGATGGACAAGTGAATCACTTCTCTGCAGCATCCACCCTTCTTTTCCTTGTCTGCTTCTGAAGATTCCAACGTAAGACAACCCATCTCACAGAAGTGCCCTCTCCAGAGCATGCCTAGAGCTGCCAAAGTGTTATTTCCAAACAGTCATTTAATAACACTCACAGCTCGGCCTGGACGAGTCCACTCAGTGCCCAGCTCTCCTGAAGCCACTCCATGCGATGTCAGCAAGACTCTCCGATCTGTCAGAAAACTAGGCAGCCAGAGTCTCTACCTTGCCCAAGGGCACAGATCTAAGAGGCAGCTTGGCTCTGCACTCCATCCCACACCACAGCCTGCCTTCCTGAGCACTGTGCTGCTCTGCCCTCCGGGTACCACGCTGCTCAGGAGACTTCCTAGCCGGAGCTGGGTCACAGGGTCACTGGGGGGAGGGAAGTTTTCCCTAGGACCAAATTCGATTTCCCTTCTATTTTTTTTTTTTAAATATTTATTATTTTTGGTTTTTAGTTCTAGGTGGACACAATTTCTTTATTTTACTTTTACGTGGTCCTGAGGTTGGAACCCAGAGCCCCACGCATGCTAGGCAAGCGCTTCACCTCTGAGCCACACCCCCAGCCCCCCCACTTCTATTCTTTATTCTGAAAAATTTCAAACCCATTAAAACAGTGAAATAATAATATAATGGATACTATATCTATTTTACTTAAGAGTAAACTATAACATTCTTTTGTTTTGGGTACTGGGAATTGAACCCAGGGGTGCTTAACCCCTGAGCCCCGTCCCCAGCCCTATTTTGTATTTTATTTAGAGACAGAGTCTCACTGAGTTGCTCAGGGCCTCACTTTGGCTGAGGCTGGCTTTAAATTCACGATCCTCCTGCCTCAGCCTCCAGAGCTGCTGGGATGACAGGCTTGCACTACCATGCCGGGCTTAATTTGCTTTTTAATTTCTTCTTTGGCCTACCATGTTGCCTAATTTCCACACATTTGTGAATTCTTCTTGAAACTTCTCCTTTTTTATGCATTTCTAGCAACAAACTCTCTGCTATAATTTGGATCATACATGTCCCAGAAAGTCCCATGTGTTGAAGGCTTGGTCCCCAGGGAAGCACTACTGGGTGATGGCAAATCCTTTTGGGAGATGTGACCTAGTGAGAGGTCTTGAGGCCAGTCTCATGCCACATGCTTCAAGTATTTTAAAAGTTTCCTGGGTTCCTAACTATGAATGTAAAAGTGGAGTGTAAAAATTGAGGAAAGAACTGGATTTTACTTTGGGGTCAAATTATGAAGTGATTAATACACGAAGCTAATTCAGGAAAACACAAGTCAGAGCCCAGGGTGACCAGGACACTATGTGTGCCTCATCTCCCCTGTGAAAAATCTTTGGAGGACTCTTGGAATCTTGCAAGCCTTCCCGTGGTGGGTACGAGTACAACAACATAGTGTCAGATGCGGTGGCTCACTCCTATAATCCCAGCAGCTCGGAGGCTGAGATGGGAGGATCACAGGTTCAAGGTCAGCCTCAGCAACTCTTCGAGGCCCTAAGCAACCTAGCAACCTTAAAAATTAAAAAGGAAAAATGTTGTGGCTCAGGGGTTATTGCCTTTTGTTGCCTGGTAACAAAAAAAGAGAAAGAAAGAAAGAAAGAAAGAAAAGAAAAGAAAAACAACAGCAGCATAGATCAGCCTCAGGACAAAATAAGTTCTGGATCCCCATTTCACAGATGAGAAAGCTGAGGAGCCCACAGATGCAGGCAATGCAGCACACTGCATCCAAAGTAGGAAGGGGATTTGAATAAAGGCAACAAGCCAGAGATGCAGAGGAGGGGAAGGGAAATTGATTACACGACATTGGTGCCATTAAGCTATGACCAACTCACTGAGATTTCTAACTCATCCTGAGTGCAGTTACTGCAACCCAAGGCCCAGAAAAACGGAGGCTCCGGGAAGTGATTGTGTTACATGTGACAGGCATGCTGAACTACTTAAAAGTGCAGTGTCACAATATCTGTCACCTTCACTGAAATGATTTTTTAAAAAAAAAACGTTAGCTGCATGCAGTGGCGCACGCCTGTTATCCCAGGGTTTGGGGAGGCTGAGGCCGGAGGATCACAAGTTGGAGGCCAGCCTCAGCCACTGAATGAGGCCCTAAGCAACTCAGGGAGACCCTGTCTCTAAATAAAATACAAAATAGGGCTGGGGACGGGCTCAGGGGGTTAAGCACCCCTGGGTTCAATCCTTGGTACAAAAAAAAAAAAAAAAGCAAATTAAAATGCCTCTTGAGAGACACAAACATGAAAACTCAGGGGAAGCAGCAAAAGGATTTTTAAGAGGGAAATTTGTACCCCAAATAACTGATTAATAAATAAGATCCCAAATGGGAACCTACCCACCCGACCTCAGAGGAGCAGGGAGGAGCCTGGGAGGAGCCTCCAGAGGAGCAAGGGGAGGAGCCCGGGAGGAGCTCTGGGATGAGCCCTGGGAGGAGCGAGGGGAGGAGCCTTGGGGGAGGGGAGGAGCGCGGGACGAGCCCCAGGAGGAGCGAGGGGAGGAGCCTTGGGGGAGGGGAGGAGCGCGGGACGAGCCCCGGGAGGAGAGAGGGGAGGAGCCGCAGGAGGAGCGCGGGAGGAGCTCTGGGATGAGCCCCGGGAGGAGCGAGGGGAGGAGCCGCGGGAGGAGCGCGGGAGGAGCTCTGGGATGAGCCCCGGGAGGAGCGAGGGGAGGAGCCACGGGAGGAGCGCCCGGAGGAGCCCAGCGGGCTCCAGGCCCGGCCCCGTAACGCGGCTGCCTTCCAGGGCCCCTGCCCCGCCGTCGGGACCCAGTGTCCTGCTCCCATTTTCCCTTCTGACTTGGGTTTTGGTGAGTTGTCCCCAAGGCGCTGCTCACCTCGGGAAGCCAGGACACTGCGCTGGTCGCGGTCACCAGGGCGGCGCTTGCCTGGCGCCGAATGCGGCGCGGCGCCTGTGGCCTCCTTCAGGGCTCCGCGGGAAGGGCGAGCTTTCCGAAGCTGCGCTCCTCAGCGTCTTCGGGGCTCCGCTTCCCGCCTTCCCGATTCTCCCGCCGGCTCCCGCCCCCTGCACGAGGGCCACACACACTGCCCGGCCACGCCCCCAGGCCGCACCGCCCTCTCGGCTTACCGTAGGGCGGCGCCAGGCTGGCGAACCACAATTCCCACAAGGCCCCGCGGCACCGCGCCTTCCGATTGGCCGAGCTTCCGGCCGTGGCCAATAGGACGTGGTTTTGTTGGCTTGTGCCGCGGCAGCCCGAGTCCTGGAGAGCGACGGCGCGGCGCGCGCAGAGCGCGGCGTCTGCCTGGTTGCTCTGGAGCCGGTTCTCGTGGTTTGCCAGTCGGCGTTTTTCTGTCAGCCTCCTGCCAATGGGGAGCACGGAGAGCTGCGAGAGCCGCAGGGTGTCTTTCGGCTTGGACGAGGAGGAGCGGGTCCGGGTGCTGCAGGGCATCCGGGTGAGCGGCGCCGCCGGGGCCGGGGCGGGCGTGTAGGGCGCCCGAGGACGCGGAGGCCGCCAGCCCGGCCTGGGGGTTGGCGCGGAGCGGCGTGGCGCGGGCGGCCGAGCCTCCCTCGTGGAGCCTTCGCACCGGGAGAGGGGTCGTGAGGCCCCGAAGAGGCCCCGCCGGGACCCGAACCCGGGGCTGCAGCCTTCAAGCCCCACTGCGCTGGTTCCCTTAGGAAGAGCGCAGAAGGGGCAGGTGCAGAGGACGCTGGTCACGAGTTAGGTCTGGGGCCACCTTCCAGCTCCGGCGGGATTGGCCCGGTTTCCTTTAGGGGTTCCGCGCCCTGGTGCTCCCCGCCCTCGCCCGCCCCTCAGGTGGGCGGCCGGTTCTGTGGGCAGGAGCAGCACCGTCCTCATTGGGGGACTGTCCCCTTCCACCCTGCCCCACGATCTTCCCCCTCAAGCAGGCAGCCGAAGAAGCCCTTTTAAGAATTGTAGGTCCAGCCAGGCGCCAGGGCGCACACACCTGTCATCCCAGCGGCTCTGGAGGCTGAGGCAGGAGGATCGCAAGGTGGAGGCCAGCCTCAGCCCCTTAGCGAGGCCCTAAGCCACTCCGTGAGACCCTGTCTCTGAACAAAATAAAAAAGTTGCAGGTCAATTAACATACATTTCCTTGGCTTAGAAGTCTTCAGTGGATTCCTAGAGCATTTAAGATGAGGAGATGCCTTACTTGGGTTTATAAAAGCTGCCCCAGTGCCTGCTCACCTGTCTGACCACATCCCAGGTCTGTCCCCTCATCCCCCACCACTCCCTCCACCTATTCACCAGCCTCAACACCTCCTGTTCCTGGAAGATACCAATTTCCGTCAAGCACAACATCTCTGTTTTGTCTGTTCTCTCTTCCCCCTTGCTGTCTTTTTATCTGCCTCTTGTCATTTTTCTAGCTCAGATCTAAGAATCCTTCTCTGACCACTGACTGACTGTAAAGGAGCTTCCTACCCTACTGTTACACATTATTTTTATGATGATGATGATGATTTTGGTTCCAGAGATTGAACCAGGGGTACTTAACCACCGAGCCCCATCCCCAGCCCTTTTTATTACTATTTTTTAAAATTTTGAGACAGGGTCTTGCCAAGTTGCTGAGGCTGGCCTCCACCTTGGTATCCTCCTGCCTCAGCCTCCCGAGGTGCTGGGATGACAGATGTGTGCCACTACTATTTGGCATACATTTGCTTTTTTCATAGTATTCATTACGGTTTGAAAGTACCACTGATGATTGGGATTATCTGTTTTACTCTGTTCCCATTAGACTGTAAGCTCCTGGAGAATGAAGCTCATGTGGGATTCATTACTCTATCCCCAGAACCTAGAGGAATAATAAAAGCCCCTCAGATCTCAGCATGTAGTGGAGGCCATGTTTTGTGCTAAGCCCTCTAAAGGAATTACTTAATTTTCAGTTGACCTATGAGAGAATTAGAATTCTGTTCGCCCATTTTATAGATTAAGGAGGACTGAGGTCACCTGCAGTGATTTATCCAAGGGGACATAGTGAACAAGTGGAAGAGGTGGGATTGAAGTAGGTTAGCTCCAGGGCTGTTTGTAGGACTGCTCTTGCGCTTCTTCCACACCTGTGGATCGCACAGAGCGGATGGCTAGTAAGTGTTCAGTGGTTAAATGAATGAACACAGCAAAACGGACCAAATTTAAATTAAAAGCACAGAGTTGCATGGAGGGGAATTAACTACGTTGAGAAAAAGAGGTCTAATTTCTGGGCTTCTTAGGTGTGTACCTTGGATGAGCAAATTATCTTTTGAGCCTCAATTACCAAATTTTTTTTTAAAAAAGCATGTGTGTGTGAGACAGTTGTAGGAGCCGCCCAGGAGGAGATGAAGATGTAAGGAAAAGCGGTTAGAAAAGTGAGGAGCCTTGTGGGGACATTTGGTGCTGCCCAGGTGGCATAAAGTCTTGTTGAGGACCTGGCTGGTGGTGAGGATGAAATGGGGGGGGTGGCCCCCTTGAAAGGCTGAGAGGCCAGAGCCAGAAGTAGAATTTCCAAAGATGTCCTTGGTACCGTTTAGTTTGGTTCATGATTCTGCAAACTGTGAGTTCTCTTTAAAGATGGAGCATCCACCTTAGAGAGGTTAACACCTTTCCTCCTTCTAGAACTTTAGAGCCTTCAGAAAACTAGCTTTTTCTCTCTACCCCCCCAGAATACACAAAAGGGCAGCCTTAAAGTTTGTGACTTTACCTCCACTGGACCTGACAGTGATGCTGGTGCCCCACTTAAGTTTATTAAAACTAGAAAGATCTTTGGTGATGGCTTCCTTTTCCAGTTGAGCAAACTCATCAGAAGCCATGACTTGTGCACAGAGCTCTACAGTGAGGGGCACAGCCTCACATCTGGAAAGCCATGTCCTCGATTCTGCTTATATGCCCGATTCAAAAGAGGAAGCTTGGGAGAAAGGATGTTATGGTGATGAGGACGGGGCCTTTTTTGGTAAGCAGAGTTACTCGAGGGTTGAGGGGTTCACCTTGTCTTTAGGCTGGCGAGTTAAAAAAAAAAAAAAAAAAAAAAGACCCTCCGATCAACACAGCAGTTCCCAGAGTGAACAGATGAGACCAAGAGGACTCTCTGCCCCAGGCTCCTTCAGCGAAAATTACATATTCTTAGGGACCACTTATATTTAATCCTGAGGTCCTGGTCCTAGATAGTGCTCTAGTCCCTTTAAAATGAAGTGCTAGGGCCTTGTTCATTTGCATGTTTATTTGCATAAATTTACATAGGAGTTCAAGCCCTAATTCCAGGAAAGGTAAAAGGAATTTAATGAATGCAAAAATGCTGCAATTACATTCAACTCCGGTTTCCAGAGCAGACGTGTGAAATAGGGAAAGATGGTTTCCATCAGTACACTTCACCTGGTCCTGCAATCCGGGAAGGCCCACGGCAGGCGTGTCCTGTGTGCAGCTACTTCTCCACCCTGTGAGCGGCCATCTTGGTGATTAGACCTTCTCCCAGCCCTGCATCCTCTCTTCCCCTTTCCGTGCACTTTCTTTCCTGCTGCTCCACTCCTTCTGGGAAACCGACTTCCTCAGCCTCTGGGCTGCTTCGGCCTAGTCTTAGCTCACTGCCCCTTTGAGGCTGATTTTGTACCACAGCAGAGGGGGCGACCAAGAAGGGTGTGTCCTGAGACACACCACCCGTGCCAGGGCTCTGAGCCTGTGCTGCCAGTCACTCCTCAGCAGGTGCCTACTATTAATTACCATGATACTTGCCCAACAGCTGGCCTGGCCACGCAGGGACAGTAACAGAGCCCAGGTCCCTGCCATCACGGAGACCCCAGCCTAGTAGGGGGAGGGGAGCAAAAGGAAAGAAGGATGAAGAAGCCAAAGAATAAAAACTGCAGGCTCTGCAGAGAAAATCAGAAGGGTGCAGAGTAATGGGATTGGCTTTCTTGAGATGGAATGGCCACATAATACCTCTCTGAGAAGGTGACATGCAGGGCAGGTCCTAAGCCAGCCTTGTGAGGAGTGTGTGTTCACTCTATGCTAAGCACCGTGCCCACCGTATTCTAAGAGAATTGTTTCAGGTATTTTACATGCTGACCTGTGAGAAACCCCCATCCCCAGCTTAAGTGAGAGATCCCCATTTCCAAAGTGAGAGAAGTGACCCCAGGTCACAGTGAGTGAGTGGAGGACCTGGAGGCTCAGACTCAGGCCTGTGTGCATGGCAGTCATCAGGGGCTAGACTGCTGGAGGAGGTTACTGGGTGGTGAGGCCAGACTGGTGACCTTGGCTTGCCAGACAGGGCTGTGGACACACCATCCTGGATGCCCCATTGTGGTTCTTTAATCAGGAGCAGAGCTGTCAAACGTTCCATCAGGTGATGCTGATTTCCCTTTTCCCTTAAAAAATAAGTTTATTGAGATACATTTACATATCATGCAGTTTATCCACTTCAATATGTTCTAGTAAATTAACAAAATTGGGTCACTGTCACCCCAATCCACTTTTAGAACACTGACAAGAGTTAAAAAGAGACCTCGTGCCAGTCATTCTACATTTCCATTCCCAGGGAACCACTAAAGCCTCCTGCCTGTATGAATGTGCCTTATCTGGATAATTCCTGTAAGTGGATTGTATATCTTTTACGTCTGGCTTCTTTTACTTAGCGTAATTTTTTGGGTGTTTTTGTTTTGTTTTTGTGGTGCTGGGGATGAAACCCCTCCCCTCGAGGTAAGTGCTGTACCACTTGTTTTTGATGTGGGTTCATCGATGGTGCACATTTATTACTGAACAGGATCCTGTTGTGTGGATTACACACTGCATTTTGTTAGTCGGTCACCAGCTGATGGGCATTGGAATTGCTTCTGGTTTTCATCCGTCGGGAATGATGTTGCTACGAACATGATGTTTACAAATGACTTTTGCACATGGACAGAGTTACATAGGAGATGGATAATGCCTCTCTGAGAAGATGACATCAGTGGTATGTCTTGAGCCATCCTAGGAGGAGATTTGTTGCATTATTTATTTATTTTTTTAAATCAGGGATTGAACCTAGGGGAGTTTAACCACTGATCACATCCCTACTCCTGTTTATTTTTCCTCTTCAGACAGGGTCTTGCTAAGTTGCTTAGGGCCTTGCTCAGTTGCTGAGGCTGGCCTCAAACTTGCAATCCTCCTGCCTCAGCCTCCCAAGCCACTGTTTATGAATCTGGGGAGTCATGTTGAAGAAAAAAACTTCAAGTTGTTTGCTGAAGTGGCTGTACCGTTTTATATCTTTACTAGCAATATGTGAGGGTTCAAGTTTGCACTCTCAGCACCACTTGGCATCGTCTCTTTAATTATAGCAATTCCAGTGGCTGGGAAGTGGCATTTCACTGTGATTTGAATTTGCATTTGCTGGATGATGTTGAGCATCTTTCACGTGCTTCCGTGCGATCCATATGTTTCCTTTGGTGAAATGTGTATTCAGGGCTTTTGCCTGATTTTAACCGGGTTATTTGTCTT